TCACTGCCTCCATATCTTTCCCTTCTTTTTGTCAGGAGGTGATGGGACCAGTGGCCATGATCTTAGTTTGTTTTTTGTTTTTTTATGTTGAGCTTCAGACCATTTTTTGCGCTCTCCTCTTTCACCCTCACTAAGAGGTTCTTTCATTCCTCCTCACTTTCTGCCATCAGAGTGGTATCATCTGCAGGTCCACGGCTGTTGATATTTCTTCCGGCAGTCTTAATTCCAGCTTGGGATTCCTCTAGTCCTGCCTTTCACATGATGTATTCTGCATATAAGTTGAATAAGCAGGGGGACAATATACAGCCTTGTCGTACTCCTTTCCCAATTTTGAACCAATCAGTTGTTCCATATCCAGTTCTAACTGTTGCTTCCTGTCCCATGTATAGGTTTCTCAGGAGACAGATAAGGTGGTCAGGCACTCCCATTTCTTTAAGAACTTGCCATAGTTTGCTGTGGTCCACACAGTCAAAGGTTTTTTTGTAGTCAATGAAGCAGAAGTAGATGTCCATTAACCAGCGCATGTTACCAATTTCGTCTCTAGTTCTCTCTGCCCTTTGAAATCCAGCTTAAACTTCTGGGAGTTCTCGGACCACATACTGCTGAAGCCTGCCTTGGAGGATTTTGAGCATAACTTTGCTAGTGTGTGAAATGAGTGTGAAATTTTTATCCCTACCTAAGAGCAAAATGACCAGCCTTTCTTTCTTAATCAGATGAAGCTTTTGTAAAAAGGCAACAGCTGTATGTGGAAAATGTATGTTTTGTGTTGAAAAGTTTGGATTTGTGCAAAATACAAGCCTCTTCATATGGAACAGAGTTTGTTTGCACAAATGTGCCCTTGGAGTTTTTTTCCCCACAAAATGCCAAGAACCAAAAAGAAAAGCAAAAGGAAAGGAGGAAGAGAAAAAAGAAAAAAGAAAAGAAAAGCACAAAAAAGAACAAAAATATTAGTAATCTCTCCCACTGTGAAGAAAAAGCTCACAATTTTTTCCCCAAGAATGAAATAAGCAATAATTTACATTCCTGGGAGAATTGTTTGGAAAAGAGGGGGGAAAGAGGTTCTCTTGCCACTTATTTTCAGTTCTGAAAATTGTCTTTCATTGACGTAAGCCACCTTTCTTTTTCAAGAAAAATGGTGGGTTAAAAATAGAAAAGAGGTTAGCCTGAAGAAAAAAAGACAGAGGGGGTGATATGATAACACTTTTCAAATACTTGAAAGGCTGTCCTACAGAGGAGGGGCAGGATCTGTTCCCGATCATCCCAGATGATCCAACAATGGGCTCAAGTTACAGGAAGCCAGATTTCAGTTGAATATCTGAGGGGAAAAACTCCTAACTGTTTGAGCGGTACGACAATGGAACCAACGACCTCGAGAGGTGGTGGTGAGTGCTCTGACACTGAAGGCTGTCTAGAGAAACTTAGAGAACCACCTGGCAGATATCCTTTGATTTGGATTCCTGCATCAAGCAGGAGTCTTATAGGCCCCTTCCAAATTCACTATTCTATGTTTCTATAAACCAGGAGGCCATCATGCAGAGCACAACGCCTATGTTGTTCTCACAGAGCACAGAGTGAGCTGGAGGCATCTGTTGTTTGGATGCAGACAGACACTTCCTGTTGCCTGTGTATTCCAGCTAAGTGCCTAGTTTAATTCCATTCCTTGGCCAGGCAAAAGTGCCCTGCAAGAAGGTTAATCAGCTGGTTGAGCTTACTCCAGCCTTGGATTCCAAACTGGATCTCCATCCATGCAAACTGTGCCTTTTTTGCTCTGTGACTTTGGAGAGAAACGAAGAAGGAAAGAACAGATGCGAAATGGGGCAAAGGCTGTCGTTTCTCATTTTTCCATAGAAGAAGCCACTCTTGGTTCTTCCGCCTATCTGGTCTAGCAGGCAGCCACATGAAAAACGATTAGCAGGCCCTCACAGTGCAAAAGCAACCCCCTGGTCACTTTTTTCCCTGCCTGGTCCAGAGCTGACCATTCAGAAAAATTCTTAACATACCTCTTGAGCTAGCTCTGCTTAATATCTATGTTTTGTATTAGGAATGCACACTTTGGATTTCTGGACTGCAATTCTGATAATTCTCCTTTCTGTGACTCCCACCTGCAGGATCCAGACCTTACAGAGAGCTAAACTGTGCTGACCGAGAGACAACATCCAGCTGGCAGGCTTCACGCATTGAACAGATCTAACTTCCTGTTTGAAAAAGAAGCTTCCGAGCAATCATCAGGGCAGCACATCCATCTGTAATTTTTCCTTTCTGGTTTCCCTATTATACAGAATGCATCATAAAAAAATCTGGACTGGATGCACATGAAGGACAAAGAAAATTGGTGGAAGAAGCATCAGTGATTTAAAATATGCAAATAATGCCATATTATTTGAAGAAAATAGCAATTATCGAAATTATTCCTGATGAAGGTGAAATAAGTATAAGATAAAAATCAGGACTTCAGAAAAATTCTATACCTTTAATGTTGACAATGAAGGAATCAGATTTGTTAATAATTTTCCAAATGGAAACTGTGGCTGAGGAATAAGAAAACTGAGATTTGGATTGCCAACTCTGGAGGGACTAGAAAAGATCCTCAAGTGTAATGATGAAGACCAGGGCTAAGATCAGCCATACTATGGTTATTCCTACTCACTATTTGACAACTCCATGATGAAGAAAACGGAATGTTCATTTGGAATGTGATGTTGCAAGAGACTAGTTTAGTAAAAGTATCACTTTTCCAAGGATGGCTCCCTTTCCTGCAGGTCAAAGAAACCCTGATTACCTGTTGTGACTTGTTCTTTTTCTGCAGGAGAGGAAGGCATCTTGCCCCACTGTGTACCACTCCTTGCTCTGTGTCTGTGTGCTTGTGTGTGTATTCACTTCACAGGGGGGTTACCTGTAAGTTCTTCTTTGTGCTGTGTACCTGTGAAACTGCCAAGAGTTACTCCTCTTGTTGGCAGGGAAGGGTACACCAGCCATTCTGCAGATTTCTCCCTACTGGCACGAGGAGGAGGAGGAGAGTCTTCTGTCCCAAGACATCTTCTACTCCCCGCAAAAATTAAACATGTTAGGGTAAGCAGCTAATCTCTCAGTTTTGGCACAATGTGTAAAACCTGCTAATAAGAATATTGGTGACTTTGGACAGATGTATGTTCCAGGGAGAAGACTCCCTGGAAAAGACCCTGATGTTGGGAAAGTGTGAAGGCAAGAGGAGAAGGGGACGACAGAGGACGAGATGAATGGACAGGGTCATTGAAGCGACCAGCATGAACTTGACCCAACTTCAGGAGGCCGTGGAAGACAGGAGGGCCTGGTGTGCTCTGGTCTATGGGGGTACGAAGTGTCGGACACAACTAAATGACTAAACAACAACAATGTTTTTAAAAAGAATCTGGCATGATTTCAAAAGAGAGCTAGAAACAACTCACCCATCTCTGCTGAAGTGTGCTGTTGGTAGCTGATGTAGCTTGTGACATGTCCTTCCCAAAACATTTAAATTGGACAGCACTCAAAAGTAGTGCAGGCACAGAAACTATACTCTTTTGGGCCTCCTTCCGTGTTTGGATCAGACCTAGGAAATGTTATATTTTCCAACTGCCATCTGGTTGGGGCTTCTGGGAGCTATAATTACCAAAAAAGAGCATAGGATGAGTCTTTGAAGCGAAGGAGTTGTGCCACCTAATGTCACACCACTGGTGAAGTACAAAGGCTTACTTCTGGGCAAAACATTCACCCATGCCACAAACATTCTCCTCCTGCACCCAAAAAAACAGGCAACCCATCCCAACAGGTAAAACACTCACAGCCCACAAAGATCAAAATATTGCACATGCATACAGGTGTGCACATGAACATGGGTGTACACACGCCCATCCTGTGCAAAACATCACAGTAATGGTAGGAAGTGGCTTTAAAGACAACTGCTCATGAGAAATTCCCCTGACTTGAACTATTGCAATTCATTTTAGATATTGAAACAATTTTTGATGCAGACCAGATTGCAGGAGACTTAGCTGCATTGGCTCTATTGCTTAATGAATTGGAAGCAGAAATAGGTGAGTTACTTTCATTCATTCATTCATTCATTCATTCATTCATTCATTCATTCATTCATTCATTCATTCCATTTCTATCCCGATTCCATCTACTCTGGGCGGCAAGGTTGTGATGCCAATGAAACTCAATGTCACGGACAGCGAACGTGGCAAATTCACACTGAAAGACTCCAGAACTGAAGAGATTTTTCCTTCCTGTGTAGCCTGGATGATAGGGTGTCACTGTGGCCCTCCAGGTGTTCCTGAGCTGCACTTCCTCTCAGCCTTAGCCAAAAAACCCAAGGGGCACGGACTAGGGGAGTGAGAATCCCAGCAGATCTTCTGGGCTGCTATTGCCTCCCCTTCTGCTGAAGAGAATCTGAGGATTGAGGGTCATTTAGTAGGTCAACCCACGGGGAGATGCAGCAAGTCCTCTGCTGGCAGATAGAATGATCCTTGCGGAAGTAGCCTGTGTTAGCCCACCTTCACCACGAGGTCCTGACATCTTACACAAACATCTATCTGCTTGAACTGAAACTGGGAGATGCAGGTCTGCTCAAGAGCAAAACAAACAGCTTCCCTGTGCTTTAGCTCCCAGTGAGTAATGGATTTTCCCAGTTGCAAGGAAAGGAAGGCAAACATTTCCCAATTGCCTGTGCATTCAAAGGCATACGTATGCTGAGATACCTATGGCATAGTACAAAACAATCAGCATGTAAATATAGCACATGAAAATAAAAAGGAAAATTAATCTAGACAGTTCCATACTTTGCCAACAGCATGCAGTTTATTCTCTATGATTGTGAAAATCACTTATTTTGTATACTGCCTTTCATGTTTACCCGAGGATCATAGTTGGCTGGCTGCATTTGAGTGTTTAACACTGCAGATGATGCCTGTCATCTATTTAAAAGGCAGATTGCTGCTCCTAGAAGCTTCCACAAGGAGAATGGTTTTTCTTCTTCTGGAGAAAGCCATTTTTCAAAGAAAATGGGAAAGTTTGATGGGACTGGAGCAGCAAAAATAGTTGTGGGGGCTGCACACCAGAACTTCCCGTTGCCCCCTCCTACTCTAACAGAAAACCATCCCCTTTGTATTTTATTATAACGGCTAAAATTCTGTTGAGAAAGTCATACTGTATAAGGGTGATTACGTCACGGGCAGGAGGTGATTGCTGGCAGTCTTTAATTCATCTGATTAAAGAGTTCCTGATTTGCTCTTGAATCAGCAGTGAAATCTCTGGAATTGAAACTCTTTATTTACAGTACTAACACTTTGCCTTTGCTAGTATGGTCCAGGAGAGGGACTGACAATAATTAAAGACTTCCTGCTTTGATCCCACAGCTTGTCCAACTCCCCTGCAATCAGACGGATTGGAGGCAAGTTGGGGGTGAGTCTGTAAGCCCCTGAATTGACAAAAAAATGCTTTAGTTACTGGCAATCTCCCTCTGTTGGTGACATCATCACCCTTATACAGGCATAATTTACTCTGCAGGATTTGGGGCCCAGCTTTATACTTTTGTCTCCACTTCTGCTTTGTGGTTTGACATGTACACTGCATGTACTTCACATTTTCCACTGGAATTGGCAAAATGACTTGAGATTTTTCCCAGCAATTACAAGATACATAGATAATTGTGAACAAGACACACAGATAATTGGGAATTTCTTTCTTTTTCTATAAGCTAGATGGGCTAGTATTTTTTGTAATGATTCTACTTATGACTCTTTTTTCTGCCATGTGTGGTTGCAAATGTTGGTCCAAAGAAGCAGTGCCATGTGTCTTTCAGGATATCTAGTTGCATCCTAGGTTACATGTCCATTATTGTACAGTTCTGGACACACAGCTTGAAGGAGATGAGATCTGGTTTGTTTTTCATCTGAAGAAGGTTTTGGTGCTTCCCAGCCCCACCTCCTCTAGCGAGCGCCCACTCAGAGACAGTGGCACAGCTTCCCTGCCTTGCCTGCTCCAGGCGCCTGAGTGGGCACCTGACAGCACCAGCGGCGTGGGGAAGCGCCAAATACCTGTTGGGCTGAAAAACGAACCAGCACAAACGGCTGGTTTGCTGCTTCACGCCCAGCTCCGAGTGAAACATTAGTTTTGTATGTAACATCTGGAGAGCTATACAAACAGATCTCTATTAAGTGCCTCCTCTCCTCTCTTTATTCCCCTAACCTCTTTTGGGTCAAAGTCGACATCCGTTACAGACTGAGTCATGACTGGATGGCAGAGAAAAATATCCTGTATCGCTTTGCTAAACAAGGATCGACGTTTTGGGAAGCAAAACAATTTTGTGAGAATGATAAAGCTAAAATAGCTAAGATTGAAAATGCTGAGGAGGAGGTAAGCAGAACACCCTTCGTAGCATGGTGACCCCTTGTTCCACCTTTGGGTGCCTTCCTATCATTTCCAACTAATCTTCCTCCCAGTCTTTCCTTCCAGAAGCAGAAGGGGTGGCATTGCAGGAGCTCTGTTTCAATGAGGGGGAAACACCAAAAAAGCCCTGTATTGTTTGTATGAGCTCTATAAGGAATTCCTGGGGTGAAACAAGTCCATATTGGAATCCTTCACTCGGACTGGCCCGTTGTCAGCCCACACCCTCACCAGTTTCCACCAGGCAACACCAATGCCCTTATAGCTCACCCAGGCTGCTGGCTGCAACTTGCTGTGTGCCGTCCTCTCTTAAACCTCCTGGGGTCCAGCTGTACAAGGTCAAGTGTTAGGACCTTGTATTTACAAGCAGGAAGCAGACTGGTCTTCCTGTGATAGCTGTGGCTGCGGCGATTCTTTTGGTCCAGCCCAGTGGGCCACAAGGCCCACAACTCCTGATCATCGGCCAGCTGGGAGGCAGAGAAGAGCTCTCCCTTCCCCTTCTCATACCACTGGCAGTAAAAGACACACCTGTATCAATATGGCCAGCTAGGGGCAGGGAGTGGAGAAAACAGCCCTACAATGCCATGTGGATCACTCTTCCCTCCTTGCTCTTAGCATCACAGCGACAACTCTCCCTCTGAGCTATACACATACTCTTTATGCACACGTGCTGCATATATGATTTCTTTCTTTGTTTCATGTATACTGCCAAGTTAGTGCTAGATAATACTCTGGGTGGTTCTCAGTCCAAAGAATTACAAAAATATACTAAAATAACAATAACCTACAAACCAATAGAATAGAAAAATAATCAAATAATAGATAATTAAAAATAAAATATAATAATCAATAGATTTAACTCTAAACCACTTAGAGTGGTTGTTTGACTAGATAGGTGGGGTATAAATGCAATAAATAAATAAAATAAATAAATAAACCAAGGCTGAACATCTGTAAAAGTCAGTTGCCTTCTTGAGAAAGACTTTTTCTGGTGGGATAAAGATCTACCGTATTTTTCGCTCCATAAGACGCACCGGACGTTAAGACGCACTTAATTTTTAAATACCAAAAATTAAAATAAAATAAAAATATATAAACAGAGCAAGTCCCACACTGGGACTGC